ACGTATAATGCATAGTGCATAAGGGAATCAACCAATCAGAGAATTTTTTTTCATGGGATGGGAGGAAGGGGAAGATTCTGATTAGTTGATTCGCTTACTCACTATACGTTATGCATCATGCAAAAGTCTGTGCTGCGGCCTTATTTCTTTTGCAAATTCCGCCGATGCTTGCGTGTATAACCGGTCACAGAAAGGTTGCAACACTTCTTTTTTGATGGGTTTCAGAATGCAGCTTGTTCACCGAGCGATTGGTTCTTATTTGTAGATCCATGAGTAAGAACCAATCACTCGGAGAGCAAGCTGGGTTCCGAAACCCATCAAAGAAAAAGTATTGCAACCTTTTTGTGATCAGCTGTACATGTACAACATAAACTCATAAAAATTAACCTTATTAAGTTGATTTAAATGGAGAAAATTATCTCCTAGCGCATAATTAGGTTCTGCATACAATAGATAGAATAAGAAATTAGAAATAAAGAATTTTAACTTATCAGAAATACATCGGATTACAATAAATGGAATAAGAAATTAGAAATAAAGAATTTTAATTTATCAGAAATACATCGGATTACAGGGTTTCTGATAAGTTGAAATCGTTAATTTTTTATTCCTAATTTCTTATTCCTTCTACTTCTTAATCAACATGCTGAGGAGTGTTCGGATTCCCATTTGTGTTTTCCGGATGCTATGTCATCCTTGTTTAACATTCGATAAATAATAAGAATAGAGTGATACCTGGGTAGCACTCAAGTGGGAATCTGAACTCGGGTGATAATCCTAAAGGTAATTAATTGTTTCCAGATAAATATGGAGATCAATATGATCAGAACATGAATATCGTATAGTATACAGAAAGACGAAAATGCAAATCAAAATTAAAATGAGTACATAAAACACAGTCGGCAATGTTCCTGTGTATGTATATGTGATTTCCGATCCGCAGGAATTCATTTTCCTATGTCCCATTGAGCGGAATTTGCGGATGTGGAATCAATGCGAGCCGCTATTCCGATAGATCTAAAGCAGAGAAATGAAAATTTTACTGCAGTGTATGCTTACAATTATATTTCATCGTTGTGACCAACTTTTTAATCTGAATAGTCATCGACTTCAACGACTAATCATGATACATGAGACAGAGCGACACTTTTTTTTATCAAACTTTTACTTATTTTTATGCGAAAACGTTTGGATATATTTTCTTATTAAACCTTTATTAAACCGTTATTAAACCCGATTAAGAGTGCCGCACAAATGTGGTCATAGTTCCTCAACGACAATCTCAATATTATTTGGATAACCTCGACATTTAATTACGCGAAAATACATCGGCTAAAATTTTTATCAATATTTGAAGTAGCCAGAACTCAATATTACATAGCTTTAGCCACAATCGCACTTATTCAACTCCTCCGCAATCGCATGACTGTAACAATAACGTCAATAGCTTCAACTTATAATCTCTGCAGAGTGAAGAATGTGTAAAATGTGCACGCTTGCAACGCTCGCTGACCATGTGTGATGTGACCATGCTAGCGCCACATTTGCTTCTTGCGCCAAAAATTCCAAAAGGACATTTCTCCGTAGCGGCGATGACGACGACGACGACGTTTCTTAATTTTTTCTTAATAAAAGTTTCAGATTCATATTTTGTGTTGCAATATCCCCGCTCGTAAAAAAAAAATAAACACTTTCATTATATATTCCGAGCGGTCGCAATCGATTGAGCACACTTAGAACTTGATCGGTTCAGCCCTTATTAAGATCCGATAATCTCGATCTGGCGCAATTCGGCCGGCTCACGTAAGTAGCCACGGCAATGTCGCTGCGCTTAGCGCTGAGACACTGCCAGTGTCTCCAGATAAAAATTTATAAAATAGATGCAATGCAGTTAATTCGTCGAACTATAAATTATCAGAATTAATGCATAAGTCATACTTTTGATAGAAATTATCAGAAATTGTAAGATGATGTAATACTCAGACCGAAGCGAGAAGACAGTTATCTCGGCCGAGCTATCCTATACGAATGATAAAATTTGACGAAGAACAGAAACCTAGACTAGATGTTTGTAACTTATAGGCCGGTATTCATAGTCAGATCTTATATTCCGGACCGTCTTAAGACATTACTTAAGATGGTCTTGAAATAAGATTCGATTATGAATACCGGCCTAGATAATATTATAGAAAAATGATATAAAGTCTTTAGTGAGCATAAAGCCTTTCTTACCTTCACTAACTAGTAAAAATAAAGTCACTTTAAAAAAACTGATTTCATCAAGTAAAAAAAATATTTGTTATAAATTTTGATAATTATCGATAAGGGCCTTTTTCAGATTTTGATATTTTTTTGTCGTAATCTTGATAGAAATCTTTGTTGTGACTCTGAGAATCAATCAGAAGAGGTCCCAAAATTTATATATAATTTATATATTTTAAATAATTTAGTAAAAGTTTAGATTACTCACTAAGTTTAGGGGAACTCAAAAAAACACTCCAATAACTTGACATAAAGATCATAACCGATGGCCTTTGACAGTTTTAGTCGTCGTTCGTTTTTCATTAAAAAGTTAACAAAAAAACTAATAAATAAAACGTAATTTTTGAATATAAAATGACATTCACTATATATTCTACTGTATATTCTGCTACATAATTTACATTTCCACGTCTGACTTTCCACGAAGTGAGATCTACTTTATACTTCTGTTTAGGCCGGAATCAGACTATGCATTGAAGATTGAGATTGAAGATTAAAGATTGAAATTTTACCAATGAGGACAAAAAAATTTTGACTCCTTTTGTTCTGATTGGTCAAACTTCAATCGTTCAATCTTCAATCTTATTCTTCAATGCGTAGTCTGAGGGATGTCCGAGGGATGTCTCCGGCCTTAGGGATGTCCGACTTCCCATTCGAAACGAGGTTCATCCGATACTTTCCTTTGCCTAGAAAGGAATAGACCTCGCTTCGTATGGAAAATCATGCAAGAAGAATTAAGATTTGGAGCAATACATACAGCAGAAATAAAACGTTATTTAAAAAATTTTTTTGTTAATAACTTTTTAATGAATAACGAGCGACGACTAAAATCTGTTAGAAGTTTTTCAGAATCATGAGCTTGACAACATATGTTAAAGTCAAGATCATCGGAGTGAAGTTCCCTAATCTGAACTTTCATCAATACCTTTTTAAAAACAGATACATTACATATTTTTGGACTTTGATTATCACTGTCGGAGTCACAAAGATGATTTCTATCAAGATTATGATATTTAAAAAAATATCAAATTCGGAAAAGGTCCAATTGTCGATAATTACCGTTTAATGTATAATACTATCGATCCGACGCAACTCGTTGGCTTGCGTAAAAGAGCACGACAGTATCTTGCGCCATAATGCACTTATTTTAGTTTGAGACACTACTGTGTCTTCAGATCATCAGTCATTTCTAAAAAAAATTACATATTTAAGTGTGACAAAATAAGAGCTAATGTAATATAATAGTTTAATTTGAGAAAACATCAATATAATATTAATTAATAGTTAATATGACTTTCTTTAGCTTCAATAACTTTTAAGGCCAAATTTCACAATATATATGGTTATCTAAAGATTATCAAAGTAACCAAGAAATTCAGTGAATGAATTTCAATGATAAATCTATTAGTAACCTTTATACTTAAGTAATATATTGTGAAAACGGGCCTAAGTCTTCTTGGTATATTTTCAATTAAATTTTCCAATTGTGTTTTCAAATTCTTCTATGTCAATTGTAATGGTTCAAAACAGGAGATCTTATTAGTTATTTCGTATTTGTCAACTATTATCCAGAATTGCCCATAGATTTTCAATGAGATTTAAATTTGAAGATTGCGTAGGCCATTCGAGTTGTTTGATGCGATAATAACGGAAAGAGCTTTTCTTTCCTGCATATTTTGGATCGTTATCTTCCTGAAAAATAAAATTATCTTCTAACCCGAACTTTAACTTCTAAATTTTCATTAATTACATTAATATAAACATCTGCTGTCATAATCCCATCAATTTTGACAAGATTTCCTATTATTGTCCACGAGAAATGTTTCTTCTAATCCGCTTCTTTTGCTCAAATAATCAATTACTCGAAATTCAATTAAAATCTGGAGAAAATATGAAGAAAGCTTTAAAATTATCATATTAAGAAAACTGTAAAATATGATAGAGGAAATATTATGATTTGGAGGTGTTTCTCATGAGCAGAAATAGGAATTTTTTTCAAAGTTGATAGGATTATGACGGCGATGTTCATATTGATATGATTAATGAAAATTTAAAGGAATCTAGGTTGAAGTTTGGACTAGAAAATAATTAATTATTTTTAATAAGATAATGACTCAAAACAGTAAAAAAAGAATCAAATTTTTATTCATTTCTACCATATCAAATATTCAAATGGTCTCCACAATCTTTAAGTTTAAATATTGAAGATCTGTGGACAATTTTAGATAAAAAGATTGATAAATGTAGAATAATTAATAAGAACTCCTGTATTAAAGCACTAAAACTGGCATGGAAAATATCTGGACACACATTTAAAAAATTTAATTAAAAATATTCCAAAGATTAGAAAAAGTTATGTTGAAGTTAAATTAGTTATTGTTTTCTAAAATTAAAATTCTATATTATCTTTTTTATTTTGTCGCATTTAAATATAATCTTTTAGAAATAAATATAGCATTATACATTACAACTAATGAAATTGATTCTTTTTTAAATTTTATTCAATCATTTAATTAATGAATAAATTTTAAATTTTAGTACAGAAAGTTTATAACATAAATATTTGTTTAAACTTCATAAAACAAATCAGTTTTATAGATAAGATGACTTTTTTTATCAATCACTGTAAATCAGTATTTTGTAACTGAAAGACAATTGACTGAGAAATTCGAGCACCTCTTATTGCATTCATCTAATTGTAAATATAATCCAGCTAATCGACCTATTGACTGACTGACCTACTTATTGAAGCACATGAACATCTGTGGAAATTATACGAGTTGCGCGACGATACAATCGATTTACGGTTTAATCTCCATCTCCATCTCCACTACATTACACAAGATTTGCAGTTTTCGACGCCGCAAAAAACTCCGCGGTCATCTCGGCCTTAATCGATGACTGGTCGTGACGTGTCATTGACGCAGGGATCAACGATAACGCGCCGGCCAGCCGAGTGACATACTGACATGCGCCAATATCCGTCGGAAAGGTGAAAATTCTGCCCTGCGTGTTTCGCTCCGCATTTGACATTTTTCTGCTTCTCCTTTTCTTCTTCTGAATTGTCGATGTTCAACTCCTAGGGATCTACGATATCGCGGTTTACCACAATTTATTTAATTTTATTCGGGTTTACCGTTCGAGGAATACGCCTCGAGTGCATTGATAATCGATTACGTTTCGCATCCTCGTATGGAGAATGTAAATCATGATGGAACTTCCACCATGTTCAGTACTATAACCGCTCACTGAACGCTCTTGCATCTAATTGGCATATTCCGTTAGATCTAAAAATATGGACTAATAAAATGCAAGAGCTCACTGAGCGCTTAGTGAATGCACCCATTGGTTGCGTTCGGAGAGTGCCCTATCAACGCTATTTGTGTCATATCATCCTTGTTTTACATTTAATGGACGATGGAAAATAAGCACAGACTTTTGCATAACGCATAAAGCCGGTTCTACATTTAGTTGCAAGCCGATCGCAAGTTTGTTGCGACAACCAATCTTAAACGTTGATTTCAAAATACAAGCTTCAAATTCAGCTTGCAATTAAAGTAGAACCGGCTTTACGCATAGTGCATAAGCGAATCAATTAATCAGAATCTCCCTTCCTTCCATTCCATAAAAAAAAAGAATTTCAGTTGATTGATTCCCTTATGCATTATGCAAGAGTCTGTGCCGTGGCCAATAGAATAACACAAGTACATCGACATATTAGATGCATTCGTTTAAACAGTGGCTAGTGCATCCACTGCTTTCTCATCTGCTAGTCACATGACCTAAATTGATCGAACAGACCTCTGCATGAATAGCTGCTCGGTATCGTATCTTCCAATAAAAAAATCGGATGAAGCTAAGAACTGTTTACAGTATAAATAAAGAGAATGGATCGTAATTAGTTGGAAAGAGACTTTACAAATAATTATAATTATAATTCAAAAGGTGTGTATTTTTAAATTAATCTAATCGTAAATATGAATTAGCAAACTTTATAACGTTTCTACTACATATCTCACTTCGCATTATTTTTACTTTACTAGGATCGATTTTCATAAGTTTTTTGTCCTTTTTACTTAATATTTTGATATATGAAATTCATTTTCAGCAATATACAACCAACTATTAGCTGGCGATATTACGAACAGCAAGATATCCTATGAAGGCGAGAACTAGAATAAGATAAAAGAGAGTAGCGCCAATGCATGTGCCTAAAGTTGGAAACAGGGATGGGCAAAATACTCAAAAAATTGTATTTAAATACAAAATACAAAATATTCTAAAAAAAGTATTCAAATACAAAATACAAAATACTCTCAATAAAATAAAAATATATTTGTTGTAAATGTTAAATACGTATTTTAAACACATATTATATTTCAAACACTGCCTACTGAGACATAACGCTAGACGTTGTTCATCAAATGTAAACAAAGATAAAGGATGCATTATGCACATCATGCGTGAGATAGGCACTTTAAATTGAGTCAATAATAGTGTGATTTTAACTTTAATTAAAAAATTTTTTATATTTAAATGTATTTAGTATTTACAAATTTAAAATACAAAATATTAAAAAAAAGGTATTTAAATACAAAATACTCTAAAAAAAATATTCAAATACGAAATACAAAATACAAAAATGTATTTAAATACATATTTTAAATACGTATTTTAAATACATGTCTTTCAAATACTGTCCACCCCTGGCTGGAAACATTAATAATGATACCAATAATCACTGAACTATATATACACTGGAATGGACAAAATTCGTGGCTGCAATTGATCAACTGCCATTTTAGTTGAAACGATTTTTGAACGAATCAGAAACGTTCGTGCGCACGTTGCGATCGATATGTCGATGTACTATCGATGTATAGAAATCTATATGGACATGAATGGTATATAAACAAAAATAATGTCACTTTAATTTTATTAGTACATTCAAAAAAACTTTAATAACACTTCATATCCTATATCGTTAACACATATGCAGGAATTGATATATTTAATACAAAAATTTTTACCTATGATACAGTACAAATACATACAGTATGGACACTGATCTTTTTATATGGACCCCAATTTTTAATGTGCATACATCGATTTCCAATCAGGAATGTGACTGTCTTCAGCAAGTTGAAATTGCAGATTAGATTGGGTTAACTGGATCTTCTCATAAAATACAATTAACCCTTTCGTCTAACAACATTGTGTGAGACTCGTGGTAAGGAAATCGGACTAAACATAAGTATCATGGATGAGAGCCGTGGTACGTCGTTCGTACAAAGCTTAATTTTTTTTTAATTTATAAGAGAAAAGTATGGCAAAGGGTTAATGAAATTAAGTTTTACTAAAAAATTAAATCAAATTTTTTGGAGACGCTATATTGTGTAGACTATTATATTTGTATACGATAAAGTATGCATGTGTGTGTGTGTGTGTGTGTGTGTGTGTGTGCGCGTATATCATTAAATTACAATTTTACATTAAATTGCAATAGTTGCTAGAAAATTATCCTCATTCCTTCTATTTTTTCATTTTCATTTTTTCTGATTTCTGTGGCGTAAATCTCAGCACGGTGTATTTGCCGGTGTATTTACTCAAATTGAAGTTGTAACTTAAAATGAGAAGTTTATTTCTTGTCATGAAAAAAAAGAATTGATATTTTCTTTATTATACTTTGCTAACTAGCAAATATTAAATTTTTTTTTTTTCAATTTACTTTATTGAAAATTTGTTCTCTTTTTGTAGATATTGTACTTTGGTTTCAAAACGCCGATTTGTTATATGTAAAGAACTCTTGAACATTAAAATTTTACATATCCATTTTGAACATAAACATAAAACTCAATATTATGAATATGTCGAAATTGATTGTCAGAACAGAAAATTTGATATTTTTATATTATATCATTAAAAAGGTATTTAAATTTGTATCATAATATTCAAGAGCCACAAAAATCTATAAGTCACAATAAAACAAGATTAGAAAGTAGTGAGCAAGATCATATGCACAATGTTTATAATTACAATGATAATTCCTTCGAAACTTCTAATTCCGAAAATTTATATCATTCACGATGACATGCAAAATCATACAATCGATGAAGTTATTTCTTTCTTTGCAAGGCTTTTATCAAATTAAGTCCTTTCGAAACATGTTCAAAATCTGTATCTGATTGTCTTGGAAAAATTGAATATTATGCTTAAATAATATCTTAATGTCAGACAATAACAACTGCTAAAATGAAATTCAAACAATTTATAAAGATTATAAAGATTCTTTCACTGTTATATCAACGGAGCATTGCAGAATAAAATATTTTACAAAAAGTGGACAATACGTGGCTCCACAATTATATATAATTGGACGTAACACTGAACAACGCGCCAATAAGACTTAACAATTTATTTCTTTAAGACAAATGTTACAGCTTTTTTTCCTACTTTAAATGATATATTTCCACATATAAATTCTTTAAAAAAATAATACAGATCGAATAAGTAATTATGTACAAACTGATATGTAAAAAAACAAGTTATCATTTTATAAATCAAATGACATAGTTTTACCTTTAATGTTTTATTTTGACTTTGAATCAAATCTACTTAGTCCAAAATTATATAAATTCGGTATAATTTATGTAACATTACTTTACCTTCCACCTGAATGTCAGTTTAATTCAGATAATATTCTTCTTACATTAATTTTTGAAAGTATTAATAGAAAAATATATAGTAATAAAAAAACTTTTGCTTCTCTTTATTGATGATTTAATTAAAACATTTTTATTACAACTAATAATGGAGAAATAAAAAAAAAATATACAATATTTTATTATTGAATTTTATACTGATGATAATTTAGGAATTAATTCTATTTTTGTAGAAAGTTTCAACGCTCATTATTATTGTAGAATTTGCAAAAATAAAAAACAAAATATATAAATGCAAAAATAAAAATGATGTATTTCACAGTAGGAATCCAGAAAATTATGAAGAAGATATTACAAACAAGGAAACTGTAACAGGTATAAAAGAAAGACGCGTTTTTAATAAATTAATAAATTTTCATGTAACAGGCAATTCTGATTTAGATTCGATGCATGATCTTGATGAAGGAATTTTTCACGATATATATTATAATATAATTAAACATTGCATAGAATGTAATTATTTTACACTCGATCAATTAAATAGTCGAATGTGCATGTTTGATTATCCATTGATAAATCATTTAAACCTCCTTTAATCTTACAAAACCATTTAAATAATTTAATATTAAAAATGAGTGTTATTTAAATACTGTGTTTTGTAAAATATTTTGATCTTTAGGTGATTTAGTTTCTGATAATGATCCTTTTGGATATTATATAAACTTTTAAGAGAAATCATTGAGATAGTATTTGTCAAAAGTAATCACAAAAATCAGCCTAATATTTTACGAGTACTTGTTAATGAACATCATAAATTATATTTATAAATAATAAATGACAATTTGAAATCAAAGTATCGAATTTATATTGCTTATGATCTTCTTTCTTGACTTGGATTGCATTTGGATTTCGACTTTATTATTTTTTTAATTTCTGATTCGTATGCGATTTCAATTTTTATAAACTTTTACTTGTTATAACACTGATAATGACTTCACATATAAATCGAAATGTTTGTTTAAGAACATGAAATTTATTCTATTAAAATAATTTAATTGTCTCGTAGACCTTGTTCAATTAAATTTAATTGCGCTTTATTTTAGAATTTTTGCCTGTTTAAAAACACAACTGCAAGATTTCAGTGTTGGTTATCACATACAGTACATGACGTAAATCAGTCGTCATTTTTTAAGATACTTAATCTTTTTAAAAATTGATCAGTTATTATATAACTAATTCATATTTATTGTTCATTATAAATTCAAACTGCCTATCGTTATCTTGATAAAACCCAACTGACTATTTTTCTAATACAAATTGCTTCTTACCATTATGAAGATCCTAAAGTATCCCTATTAAGCTAGACCCCCCACCATCCTGCAGCGAAATTTCACATCGCCCGTAATATATCTTATGCCGGGTAAGTTCAGGACAATTTGATACGTAAATAATAAATTATAAAAATAATAAGGCTCAATAAATTTAAATAAAGAATAAAAGGCTACGAGCCTAAAAATCAAACAACAAAATAACAATCTACATTAAACGATTAAAAAATAAAATAAACAATGTCATGAAATTAAAAAAACGTGAAATATAATTTAAAAATCAGTAAGTGGATTATCGGAGATAACGGTGAACCCATCGGAGTGCCGAACACCTGTCTATAAGTTATATTATTGAAGGTAAAAAAGGTTGAATATAAAATAAATTTAATAGCAATAAAAAATTCGTTTTTTGGTATGCTTGTCTTAGCCGAGATGTAAACCCATCTCCTATCGATGTTATTTAATGCTAGCTTAATAGGAATATTAGTAAAAAAGGATACTACATCCAACGAAGCCAATACATGTTCAGGATCAAAAACAGTACCATTTAACTGCTTAACCAAATGGAAACTGTCTCTGATGTAACTGGGAGCTTTTGGTATACTATCACTAATCAATTTATGTAAAAAAAGAGAAAAATAATATAATGGACTATTGACAGATGAAACAATCACTCTCAACTTACTATCTTTAAAAAACAGAAACAGGGTCTTAATAGACAAAATGATACTGAATCTTTACCTGAAACCTACTCACAGATTATCCAATCTCTTTCTCCTTTGTAATTGCTTTCCTTCCTTTATCTATCTTTTTCTCTCCCTACTTTCTCTCCCCTCTACTTTACTTTCTCCTTCTTATGTTTCCCTTCTTTTTTAGTTTTTCATTTCAACCTTCCTGTCTTTATATGTCATATTTCACTTTATCTCTTAGCTTCTTGGAGAGATGATCAATTTTGATTCCCATCGCATTGTCTAATTGATAATATACCAGTTTGACACACATACTAAGGTATTTATTCTTATTTTGTACTAAACTCATTATACATATACAACGAATGACGGTTTCTTACTTTTTCTCTCGAATTAATATTTCTTTTGTATATATCTCATAATATCAAAAATAACTTTCGCCTCTTTCTATTAATTTAATTTTATTAATTGCGATCTTGTTTTTGCCTTTTCTTTATTATTTGCGACTCGATTGTACTTTTCTTATTATTTTTATTTATTCCGTTTGTTAATTTATTATTACAATTTGTACTTGCTAACATGTTCTTTTGCATACGCACATTTCGGAGGAATTGGTGTCAACAATCGTTTATTTGGTTTTCTCTCAATTTGGAGTGAGTTTTATAGTTGATATTGTGTCCTTATGCGGATTTTTATTTTGTTTTTACATTGAAAATGATCCAACAGGGATCGAAACGATTCTATTCTTGTCATTTATTCTTGTTTACTTACTGATTTTTAAATTATATTTCACGTTTTTTTTAATTTCATGACATTGTTTATTTTATCTTTTAACCGTTTAATGTAGATTGTTATTTTGTTGTTTGATTTTTAGGCTCGTAGCTCTTTTTTTTATTCTTTTATTTATGTAAGTAACAAAGATGTACAAATGAAATTATATAACAAACGATTTGATAGGTTGCTTAGGAAACTTTTTGCAAGTACAGCTATTTCAAAGAATGCGACATTTATGGTTCGAAGAATGCGGGAACGTTCTTAAGGTTGGAAAAAGATTCAACTGCATAAATTCTTATAAAATAATAGCTTTAATTCTGATTTTTTTCGAAAATAAGAAAAAAGATTTAAAAAATAACTTCCCTACAATATATATCTAAATACTTCATTCGATTATGGAAAACATAGAAAATAATGTACGAATGTATATAAAAGTGATTATGACTCAGTTTATGCTTTCAGGTCGATCATGAAACTTGGAAGTAAAGCAAATTGGAGAAACGCGCTATATTTTCTAATAAAATATTCCGAGTATCGCATAGAGCCGCTTTTATCTTACTACAAATCAGTCCGTGAGTGGCTGCAACATGAAATTGAATGTCACAGGATTCCAGTTGGCTGGGATTGAAATGAATCGAGTAGCTAGAGTAGTTTTTCCATGTAGAAAACCCGCATCTGTGTTTTCTTTTACTGTATTTAAGAATGACACCGATTACTTAGTTGTATTCTGGAGTCCGGTATGATTAAGTGATCATTTGCTAACGATAGCTTGAATGTTGTTACAAGTTTGTTGTCTCAGAATTTAATTCTTGTCTCGAACCCAAACCTTCATTCGTAAAAATGTCGAATTCTTCTCGATTTGCAAGAGCATTACGGACATCGTTCAGCGTAATAAGTTTGGGACATCTACAATGGGCAATACAAATTAATGAGATACATAAGTTGTTATTTACAAAATGCAATAAAAATACAAAAAGTAAGTATAAGTACTCATTTCCATTATTTCTTTCCCAAGCTCTTGCCAATGACGATCGAGTGAGATCTTCTACGAAACATTCGACAACCTAAACATAGTAACAATGCAATTTTTATTCTATAATAACGGCAGTGACAATGCAATTTTTATTCTATAATAACGACAGTGACAGTGCAATTTTTATTCTAATACAAAAGTGAATATAATTTATATCAGAAATATTTACCTGCATTATTACGCGACTAGCTGCACAATATAGAACACCAGGAATAATCTCCTCCGGTTCGATTTTAATGCCAATTTCTTGCGCAGTGTCGCACACGAAATTATGGAACGGTAGCAAATTTTCATCAAGTTCAATCGGTATTAATGTAGAATCGGTTGAATAATTGCTATTCTTATTACCGTTTTTTCTTCGATCGATTGTAATTCTGCGCGGACATTCTTTAATACTTTCAACATCAATTTCTTCATCATTGATATAATTATCTGACTGACGATTAGGCTCTTGCTGGCAAGTTTGCAACCATTTTTGCAACGTAATTGGTTCTGTATATGTAGATACAATCATAGTGGCTGTCATGGTATCGGGTAGTTTTTTCGTATCACTTGTTCCTGCTGTTTCCTGAACGCTGAAGACACTTTGGCTCGGTGTATAGCCGTGCAGTCTCGCCCATAGCATAATCTCCTTGATGCTCCACAATTGATCACTTAAGATCAGCTTCATTTGTAGAAAGCTTCTAATTATCTTTGCGCGGTACCACTCTATGGCTCGTTGCTTTCCGACGTTGTACGACAAGTATTCCTCTTTGCTGTAACACGCATAAGGATGCAACCGTCTATAATCGGGATCGCGAACGTCTTGTGTAACAATCGGCAATCGACGTATGATAAATCGTATCAATGCCTCCACATCGGCAATATTCGCGGTATCAATCGACTGGAGAACCGCTTCATATAGATCCTTTTTGCTCTGGATTTTGAATTTGTCTTTACCCAGCGTGATCTTCGTCCGCTGTACAATGGTCTTATCCTCCGATTTTGCGCACGATACGAACTCTTGCTTGCCAACCGACGGAATGCCTCCTATTGCCTCGGCGATGCTGTAATTGTATTGTGAATCATGCGAGTCCACTATTTTCAGAATCGGCACGTTCTCGTTAACGTTCAGCAGCAGACTATTACTGTCTTTCAGTTTGAGTAGCGCTGTCTTTTTTTTGTTATTGTTAACGGTATCTTTCTGTTGTGCATTTGCCTTAATATTAGGCAGCTTCTTTAGAATGCTAACGCCCTGAGAAACAGGAACATTTAGTTTTGCGACGCTCGGAACAGAAACTTTCACACTATCGACAAACATCCTCAAGTTTTCTCTAGATTTTGATGGAATATTTTTGAAATCCACCGGTACCGATTTTTCATCCTTTAATAGAAGTATATGCTTACTGCTTGATGCGATTATGTTCGGTGGTATGGAGATTTGCAGAGGTTTTAAATGCAAATTGCAGGTTTCCGAAGAATTTGCAGTTTTCTGTAAATTATTGAAACAATCGAGTGAATTACTGAACGATTTGCGAAAACCATTAATAGCCGTCACTGTATCATTAGTCGAAGAAGTTCCTAAAATTTTGAAAGTATCACTTTTCGAATTTTGTAAAGATTTATCCGTATCGGATAATAGATCTTTTCGATTATTGTTCTCTTGGAATGCTGCATTTATTGACGTTACTTGTGAATCATTTATAATTATATTTGAAGATGCCAAAGATTGGTAATTACTGGAAGACTGAATATCACCATTAATTCTATGCGTGGAAACCATTATATCAGATGTTGTCCTTTTGTTATTTTCAACTGTTGAATTAATCGATGTTTTGTTGTCATTTTCCGGAAAGTGTTCCACGGTCATGTTTCCTTCTCTTACTGTAAAATGACGAGAATTGAAATACTGTTTGCAAAAATAATTATGATCATGTTTAATATGACATATTGCTTCTTTATGTTTATCATTAGATATGTAAGTGTTTAGTGTGTCGTTAGATTTAGTTTTTATTCTTTCTGAATTTTTCATTAACATGAAATCCAATGGTGAATTATATCGTTCATGTACTTCCGAATCAGATATTTCTTTTTTTACTTGAATTTCGTTGAAAATGTTAAGTCGTGACATGTCCCTAAATTTCTCTGATTGTTTATCAATAGATTCAGAACTATCATTTAATTCTATTTTTACGAAGGTATCATTAATTGAAGATTTACGATTATTATTCTGCTCGGAATTATGGGATTCAGCCGTATGAATCCACACGTCGACCAAAGTCTCAGAACCCAAAGTTTGCAGTCCTGTATAAGTACGATCCAATTTCAGATGATGAATTATATCCATGGGCTTATTTAAGGTATTCTTGAAGTGCAATTGTACTCTAAGAGGAAATTCGCCCCATCCTCGTCTGGACAAATGAAACGGATACGATGTGACCTCAACGATGTCATTTGGATGATAGCTGGGATGCAGGAAAAACCTCACCTTGCTGACGAAAGTGCTGATGTTAGCTTTCTCGTCTTTGTCGCCACGCACATACATCGTCCACTTGTGACTAGACGCATCCTCTCGCCAATCTGGCGGGATCCACTTGGAAATATTGCCAACGACAATGCGTTTGCGGACCTTATGACTATTTCCGCGAGACGGACTCTTCTCAGGCAAGCTGCTCTTTGGTGGAACGTAACGAGGTATCTTGCGAGGTTGAAACTCTTCAGCCAGCATTTTTCGCTTTTTACTTTGTAACTCATTATTACTTTTGTTTGCATCTTCTTCGATTTTAAGTATGTTATTAAGCGCGGTACTTGCGTCCGACGTGAAAGATTTGTCATCATATAAAAATCGGGGATCGGTAGACGTTGATGGTACTGCAAGATCTGTGTAATCAACGAATTTAGGACTCTTTCCAAGTAATGTTTTAATTGCAGGATGAATTCTCGTCTGTTTTGTTTCCACAGCTTGGGAAATTTGACACTGCTTGCGATTGTAAAAATTAGTAATTATAATGTAACGCAACAGATGAAAAATCTTCAGAGCTTTGTGTAATCTGTCCTGTATCTGCAAAATTTCCTTTTCCTTCAAATCAATTTCCAGTGAAAATTCCTTTTCTATGATTGCAGTTATCTTTTTTGCAGTAGTGTTTCTTGCTAAAAAAAAAAGAAAAAAGAAAAAAGTATTATTTAGACATATAATCATAAAATATTCTTAATAATAATAAACGATTTATTAAAATCCTAATGTAAATGCACAAGTAAGAGTTAAAGCTTATAACAGTTGAAATTGAATCTTTGATGCTTAAATAAGGTATGCAGTATAACGCCCTCACCTCTGATTTTCCCACAATTTTGTAAATTTGTGTATTTTGCATAGAATTCTGAGAAGGAAAATCATCGCTCAAATCAAAACTTTTTTTTGATGTTGATAAGATGGAAAATAACAATTTAATAATACTTAACTGCTGCGTATGCTAATTAATGTTGTTATTCATAAATTAAATATGATTAAAATAACTTATTAACCTCATGATGGTATTCTATCATTGTTAACCTAATGTTGTCATTAATGTTGTCACTTTATTAATAATATCGTATTAATAATATCAGTTCAGTTATAAATTAAATATTATTAAATATAATTAAATATTATCATAAAATTTAGTCAAACAAGCAGAAAATATGCAAATATACATTTTGAATTAAAAATTATTATCTGCTATAGTTTAAATTATATGAGAAAATTCGTATTTTTAACCAATTAATTAAAGCAGAGAATACGCAGATATGTATTTTAAATCAGAAACTATCTTCTGCTATGATTTAAGTCAGTTTATCAAAAAATTAAAAGTAAAGAGTGGGCTAATGAGCAACATGTACAACAATTATTAGGGGGTTGCATTAAAACCCCCGTTCACGTTTAGATGGCAGTAGCTGCGTATGCTATGATCAGAAATATCTGCTACTTATATCATTTTGAAGTATGAACATTTCCTACTAAAATTCAGTCAACAGACATCATCCTTGTTTACATATGTGCTTTTCTATAACTGAATTAAAATGGAACGTGATAAATTGTTTTTCCGATATGTACTTCTACACTATTTTGATTTGAAAAAAAGTGCAGCTGAAACTCATCGATTGCTTGCGGAAATTTATGGTGAATCTGCTCCATCGGAAACAGTATGTAGAGACTGGTTTCGACAATTCAAAAGTGGTGATTGTGACGTTCACGACAAACAACGAACAGGTCAACCGAAAAAATTCGAAGATGAACAACTGCAAGCTCTATTGGAAAAAAATTCAGTTCAAACACTCAAAGAATTGTCTCAACAACTCAAACATCGTAAAATAGTCGATAAATCAACTATTTTACGATATTTATAAGCTATGGGAAAGATTCAGAAAGAAGGAAAATGGCAACCACATGAATTGACCGAAAATGCCATTGCCAACCGTTTAAACATCTCAATTTTTTTGCTTGCAAAGCATAACAAGAAGAGTTTCTTGTGGCGTATCGTGACCGGCGATGAAAAATGGATTTTTTTCAACAACCCAAAACACAAAAAATCATTGGTTGATCCTGGCCAACCATCAATATCGACTTCAAAGCGAAATATCCACGGTCACAAAGCAATGCTCTGTATTTGGTGGGATATGGAGGGTGTCGTGTATTATGAGCTGCTTAAACCGAACGAAACAATCACCGCCAAGCGTTATCGACAACAATTGGAACGTTTGAATGATAATTTGATGCAAAAACGACTATCAATTGTATCAAATCGTCGAAAGGTGATTTTACTCCATGATAACACTCGGCCGCATGTTGCTATAGCCATGAAACAAACACTGATGGATCTCGAATGGGAGGTTCTCCCGCACCCAGCATATTCTCCGGACTTAGCACCAAGCGATTATCATCTGTTCCGATCAACATGCTCTGGATACTTCCATAATTATAGCGAAATCGAAAATTGGGTTGCTGAATGGATTGACTCAAAAGACAGACCATTCTTTCGTCGTGGAATTCAACTTCTGCCTGAAAAGTGGCAAAAAGTCGTAGCTTCCGAGGGAAAATATGATATTTGATTGAAAATACTTTGATTTTACTATTCATATATTTTGTTATTGAAATAAGTGCTCAAATTCAAAGAAAAAACAGTGGCTTTTAATGCAACTCCCTAATACATATGTGATGGCTAGTAGGGTTAGTCTCGCCAAGGATTCAACTTATTTCTATTATGTGATTATTGCTAAAGATGACTCGAATGTGAATTGAAACATTCAAATTAAATTAATTGAAGACAATTTTACACATACAAATTTGCACAACGCTTACAACGCTTTTCTTTCATTAGCCCGCTCTTTACTTTTAATTTTTTGACATTTCGAGAATGCGTACAATTTTAAATTATTTAAGGTTGTCTTACTTTTTTAATTATACAATTTATGATTCAAAATGTATATCTGTGCATTAATTAATTCTGTATATCTGTGCTTTAATTAAAATACGAATTTTCTTATATAATTAAGTTGCAATTTTCTTATATTGATATAATTAATTTATAACTGAACTAATGTCATTAATTCATAAATAACAGAAATAATGACAACAGGCTAAAAAAATATTTTAACCATATCTAATTAATAAATGACAACATTATTGAGTAACGAGAGACAAAAATTGTTAGTTTTCTTTTCAGAAAGTTCTGAGAATGTTTTCAGAATTTATTCAGAATTTTTACCGTAATTTTTTTTCTCATGTTTTTGAAAAAAATAAGAAAATGCAGTACTAAAAGTTGATAAAAAATTCTTAGAGTTCTATGAAAAGAAAATAAATGATTTTTGTCTTTTACAATTTTTCTGTAAAGTTAATAGTATTTGTATAAAATTGTTGAAAATATTCAGCAATTTTTAGTAATTAATATCTTGTTAACTATTATGAAAATTGCACAATGGTAGAAGACTTTTCGACTCAGTTTAGTGCCATTTATCTTCCTGTGAATTATTACTAGAGTCTCGCCGGACACCCGGTATAATTATAATTATGATCATAATTGTATTTTATAGTTGTAATTATATTTATTATAATTACTATTATAAAATACAATTATGATATATATTATAATAATTATTATATTTATTATTATTACTATTATTTTAATTTAACCATTTAACTTATATATTAGAAACAAAGCCCTAAGGAATCGATAATGTCGCATATGTAGTGCATATCGCATTTTCGGCAGAGAACACTTTGACCGCCTATATCTCTAAAACTAGCCATAGGAGTCAAGTTATACCCATTGAAATATTTGTTCAGAATGAGAACTACAACATAAAAAATTCAGCCAATTTGACCAAAACTTTTTCATATTTATACGAGGTTCTTTATAAAATTACAGGGAAATCGCAGGTGTGAATGTTATATTGCATATCTTAAATCATTTCTAAATTTATGTACTTTAGCACATATAAATACATAATCATTTGAACTGCACACTCATTTGGTTTTTCACATTCAGAAACGCGCAACTGAAATACTGTAGTACTATCACAAATTAAATTAATAAGAAATTTAATAATTTGATGCTCTCAATCAGGGATCTTATTTGAGAATGTTAATGTGCTGAAAATCGGTTAATAAATTTATTGCGAAAAATATTACCTCGGCCGGAAGTCTAACCCAAATCTCTAGCATTCCATGCAAGCGTTCTAAGCCTTTAGACTAACCAAGATCTAACTTCATTGAGGCTTTAACTCTAACTTGTGTATTTTTAATAAGTTAAACATTGCGGCGCTATATAAATAAATCAAATGTAAGTAAAAAAATATGACTATCTTGATGTCTAATATTTAGGGGAAAACAGGGTCACAAGATACTATCATCGATTGTTTAACATAATCTAATGTTTAAATTAATACTACTGGTACAATACGACTGTTATTTCGTTATCCATACTTTTTATCTAGATGAGAATAATTCCATTGTATCGAAAAGCATTAATCAAATTAATGATTGTCGTATAATAGTAACTTTTTAACCGCATAAAAATGTTTTAATATTGTTTTTGTAGTAGAAGATACATGTACGAAGATAATGTAAATTTCTGCGCATTTTTTCTTAACTTATTATGTTACAAATGATAATATAACATCTATTTTGCATAGTTTTCTATTAATGTATAATTAAATATATAATTGGGGTACCATTGATCATATATTAATTATTCATAATGAAAATATATGTATACTAAAAGAATAGTTTATTATTTACATATATTTACTGCTAAGCAAAATTAATTTTATTTTATCATAATAAATTTTTTATTTTACATTAATGGTTATTTCTCATTTGTTTTCTTATAATTTTTTATTTTATTATTTATTAATTATTAATTGTAATTATATTTTATTGTATCAGTGACTATGCTAAGAATGTAAGTTAATGCTAAGTAAGTTAATTGAAAATACTTTCAAATTTTCATCCGTTATTTCTTACATAATCCTACTATTTTGTGATCTGTATGGGGCACCATGGATCACTTCTTAAAAAATGTTTTTATTTTTTTCTTAAAAATTAAATATTTAGTAAATATACTTATTAAATTTTAAAACTTATTTAATTTTATACATTTTAATTATTAAAAAAAAGATACAAAATTTGTATATTTAGATGCACTTTTAAGAGTTTGAATTTTTGTGACTCATAGTGCCCCGGTTTTCCCTATATGTAAATTTTTTAATATATTTTCCAGTTATATAAACTCCTTTCTGATTGCTATCAGATAAATCAATACAATCATAAAATGAAATTGAAATAATATCACAAAGTAAACTTGTCAATTTAATAATGTTGCTAATAAGCATCTTAAAACATAACACAGAATTTATTCAAAAAATGTAATTGCAGCTAGAGTTTAAACTCGAAACCTTTCGAGATTTAGGCATGACACATTAGTATAATCTATATAATAACAAATTTTTTTTTAACTATAATAGTAACAAGACTCAATAAATTAAACAAACAAAAAGAAAGACAAAGGGCTACAAGTCTAAACAATTATCATAAAATAAAAGAATTTTTTGAACAGTTAATAAATAAAACATGTCATCAAGTTAAAATATAAAATTTAATTTGACCGGTAACAAGTAAAACAAAAATAAATCGATTTCGATCCCTGTTGGATCATTTTCAATGTGAACAAAAATAACAATGGAAATATTACATAGATAAAATATATAAAAATTAAAATTCGCTCTATCAAATCGCAGTATCAAATATAAATTTCGCTCCAATATAAAATGAAAGTTATAAGGAAGTTGTAATCGACAACAAGGTATTCCTCTGGCTTGTGTACGTAAATTAAGGACGAACATGTTTCTGTTAGAAAGTACAAAATGTAATGTAAAATTACCACAGAGATAAATATATATCTCTGACATTAAGAAGAATACTGATTCTCCTACTGTCATAACTGATCATCGTATTTTGACCACAATTTTAGATGAAACGAGGTGAAAATTTTAGACTGCGAATCTTCGTATAATAAGAGACTCGTAGCCCTTTGTCTTTCTGTTTGTTTGAATTTTTTTTAATTTACTAATATTACTAACGAGTATTCAAAATTTTTATTCACTTACATGCACTAATTCTGTAAGAAATCAATATATGTAATAAATTAAGGTAATACTTAAGAAGAGTGACTTCCTTACCAATTTTTAAATTAGACTCATTCGATGCATTTTTGTACAAAATGAACGAATCTAGTAAAAAAAATGTCGTTCTGCTCCATGCACTGAATATTAAACGTTATAACTTAACGATTGATGGCTATTTTCTAATTAGGACACAGAACATTACACTGTGTTCCATTGTATAAGATACTTGTTAAAATGCAATTTAGTTTTAATGTAACACCAGAATTGTAGTCTTATTTTCTCTTCCATTCTTATTATTACGATTATTTAGCGTATCAATAATAGATTTACGATTTTTATTTAGACTTAAAACAAATATTAAGATTTCAACCTATCAGATACCAGCTACATTAGAATACACGATTTCTGATAGATTAAAATCTCAATATTTATTCCTATATTTATTTCCTATTCCTAATATTTCCTTCATTGTTCCTTCATTGTAATATTTCCTTTAAGCTATAGTTTTTTTCCAAATTGGGCTACATTCCAAAACATACGTTACTATATATTTCGAATAAAATTTTCCTTAGAGAGAACGTTTTGAAATGTATCTTTGACAATTTTTGAAGATTTTATTATAAAATAAGTACGGCTACTAAACTTTTTGAAAAGATGATAACATTGACATTTTACATGTTCATACTTAGCTTTTTTTGTACAGTGTCGAGCAGAGTAACACTATCATAGTTGGGACACTTTGTATAAGACACGGTGTTACACTGTATCATCTGTGTATGTGTTAAAAAACACCCAAGGTTAGGAAATCTATCATAATGTGAAGTACTGCGACATGAGCACGTACTGCGATCACTTTGTCATAAATCGAGCCATCTTAATGTAGTCAATGAAATATTTATTTAAAAAAAAACGTATGTTAAAAAGTTTCTGCCCTGCTCTTGCTATATGTGAAAAGTTGGAAACTTACGTGGAATCATTCACGGTTTAAAATTTTCCACACAAAGCATAGTTCCACATAGGTTTCTAAATTTGCATCAAATATAAACTTGAAAATCTATGTAGGACTATGCTTCGTGTGGAAAGTTGTAAATCTATGAGTGCATTCTGTTTCATGCATGATGTACACGATGCATCCTTGTTTTTCATCTGAATGTTAAACAAGAATAAATGATGCATCATGCACATCATGCATGAAACAGAATATATTCCATGAATAATTCCACACGAGTTTCCAACTTTTCATGTATAGCAAGAGTAGAGCAAGATCTTTTAAAACATTTTTTTTTTGGCGAATATTTCATTGACTATGTTAACACAGCTTGATTTACCAAAGTGATCACAGTATATGATAGTGTCGCAATATTTCACAGCTATGACAGATCTCCTAATCTCCAATAATCGTTAACTTTAACATTTAATATCTTGGTCCACGGAGCAGAACGATACTTTTTGTTTGCCAGATTCATTCATTTCGTGCAAAAAATGTGTCAAATGAGCCTAATTTCATCAAAATCGATGAGGAAGTCATTCTTCTTGAGTATTACCTAAATTAATATTATTAATAGAGTTAATGTTTATCATTAATACTCTATTAGTAAGAGTTAATATGTTTACCATTTTCTTCATAAATCTTCTGCTGAGCTGAGTCATTGGAGGTTGCCGATACATAATCAGGATCCTGACCGTTTAATAAATCTTCAGGAGCACTCATTTATTGGGTTTACGCTTTGCTCAAAAGAATAAAAGTCATTTCAATACACAGCACTTTTACCTACGTTGAAGTTGATATTTAAAAGCACAAGATGGATGTCGAACAAGTCTTTTGATGCACATACATAAAAGCTACACTTATATTTCTTTTACCATTAGCATCACCGAGCTTTCGCTTAAACTTTAGATGCATATTCTGTCTACTATTGTAAATAAGAGCCGAGATACTATCTGTTTCCAGATAAAAATTTCGGAAAAATTTCTTCGAATAGGTTAGAGTTAAATTGATTTCGCTTGTAATATTATTACAAATAATTCATATGAGAATAATTTACTAAGAGAAAATACCAGCATATATGTCTGTGAATATCAAATAAAAGTATACAGTTGCCGGAATGTAGAAATTGATACCGATAGAATGCAAACATCGTCAACTGTTGCAGAGAAATCGCATGTGTATATCACGTGTCCATGTTGAATCAGAATTGCCAGATGCCTTTATCGACTTCCCCCTAGAGCAACCTCGGTTTTCTCTAAATATCCCTAAATTAGTTTTTAGAAAAAAATCTGAGATTCTTCCTAAATGCTGGGTACAGGGTATCAATCATGAAACTTTATCCCTAGGATGGAAAGTGAAAAGTGAAAATGTTAACCCTTGAAGTTAATGGAGAAATTTTTTGCATGGTTTGCGCGGTTCGTATAACTAAGTTACTTAGTTAATTTCTGTATCGCGTATCGCGTACCTCGCTCCATGTAATCGCACCCTTATCCTAGGAAAAAAGTTTCATGATTAAAGGCACAATAGGCACAGGCAATAGGCACAGGCAACAGGGAATAACGAGCCATCCAATCAGAGCTCTGGATATAATATCGAACTGAGAGCTATTGTACAATATTTAAGCCTTGATACCTAAGGATGCGTTCCAAAACTCAACTCTGCCAACTCTAAAGAATTCAAAATAGTGGGAGAAAGAGTAAGTTAGAGTACGTTACGAGTTGAACAAATTTGGAATGTGAAAAAGTAAGAGAGATAAAGTCGTTAGAGACGAAGTTGTTATGATCTATATATATAGATCATATATTATGTTAATAATAAAGTTTTTTCTAAATGAAAAAGACAATTAATATAACAATATTAAAATCACGTCATTTATATAATGTCTTAATCAATGTATGTGAATCAATAACCTTAATATATCTCTTTAATTTTTGAGGAAATTAAGGTTATTTATTGAATGACGCGTTATTTATTGAATGTGCGTATATATATACATAATATTATATTTAATCAATATAATATATTATAGGATCATATATGTGATACGAACTATAAAAATCCAAGCCTTGAACGGTCTAGCTGGATCTTAAATGCTTATATGATTCTTGTGTGAATTTATATAGTATGTAGTTCTTAGAAACGCGCGCTGAAATGATTTTTCGGTCTTGAAACGTCAACTCCACTAAACTACTGCAGTAATATCACGAGTTAAATTGACTAGCAATTTAACAAATTTTTTATGCTTATTTACATCTTCGAAACGATCTTAATAATGTTGAATGACATTAAAATCTATAAATAATTAAATCTTATTGCGAAAAATATTATCTCCTCGGCAGGGAATCGAACCCGGATCTCTTGCATTCCGCACGGATCATTTACCTTGCGTTTTGGAACGGCGTAGAGTTAACTTTGTTATTTCGGAGTCGAGTTTTGGAACGTGAGATTAAAAAGAAACTTGAGAGAGGACATGACGGCCAAAACCTGTAACCAAAATGCGCACTACTGTCCTCTGACAAAGTTAATGTAAACTACATACTAACGTCCACTTTTCTTAGGGTACATCGTCCACTTTTCAAGGCTGGAGATGATACATCAATATTTACTTTTTCTTAGGGTACATCGTCCATTTTTCAAGGCTGAAGATGATAAATCGATGGTTCGTATAATCGAGCTACATGTAACATGATTATATGAACCAAATATCGATATTATATTATAATATGCTTCGAATCTGCTATATAATATTGCCTCGAATTTTATATTAATAACATGACTTTAGATATTATTAAAATTTTAATTTTTACTTTAATTGTACTCGTAATTACCGGTACGTTGTGACATTGATAATGACTATAAATTGAAACGTTTATTCAATTATATAAAATTTAATTTCACATTATTTCTGGATTAGCCTTGAAGTGACTTATTACGAGGCTCGTAGCTTCTTTTTTATTATTTATTTTTATATTGTATCTTTATTTTGGTTGTATAGATTATAAATATGTATCGATGAAAATTTATTTCGACATTTTGCTCTTGATTAATTTGCTTCTCCTTTTTTCTGTAGCTTTTATTGCTACAGCTGATTGTAACATAATGTGGCATTGTGTTTAATGTTTTATTTTAGAAAAATATAAAATTTCGTATATGCAATATTAGTTGCTTTCCATTTGCACACAAGTGAATCTGAGTCTGAAGTGAACTGAGTATTTCATATTTAGATTAATAATGTCATTATTTGCTTAAATTTGGTAAAAAATTATCACATGACAACACAGGTTCAAACCTCACTTTTAAAATGAGTTTATGAGACTCACTAAAACAGGCGGTCTCGATCTTGTGCAGATTATATGCACAAACTCATTTGTATGAGAATGTAAAAGGAACACTCATTCAATTGAGTTATGACATCACAAGTGAGAATTATCTGAGAATCGTGTAAATGGAAAACAACTATTGTTCTCGTCACGGTATCGCATACAGGCTGCATTCCGTTTCACGCATGAAGCGGATGATGCATCATTTATCCTTGTTTAACATTCAGTGAACAACAAGGATAAATAATGCAGCATGCGTGAAACAGAGCGCAACTACAATTACTTTATTATTTTATTGCTAGAAAGTGTCGCCAGAAAATATGTAGCGGCCCTCTCCTCTCCTAAAATCTTCATCCCCTCCCCTCATCAGAAGGCTCCGTCCAGATATTCATACGTCCATGGTTTGTTTATGTATTGGATCATCTAAAAAGTATCCGCTTACTTTGTCACTAGATATATGACCATCAACACACATCTAGTGACAAAAAACCGCGGATACTTTTTAGATGACCCAATAGTTACTGCCGCAGGTATTTGTTTATTCTACCTGCGAAAACGACTGCAACGCAGTTTATTTGTTTACGCAGGGATGTATATCATCTGCGCAGCTATTTCGAAAGTCCTGTTCAGGATGCTCTGCTCGCAGTACTGCGTAAATGAATTACAAACTGCGCTGCAAATGTCTTTGTAGATTAGATATCTTGCTGTTCATAATACCGCCAGTTATAACCGATTGTATTATTAAAAACGAATTTTATTAAAATATCAAAAAATAAAAAAAGAACAATTTGTCGAAAACGATCCTACTAAAGTGAAAATAATGCAACGTAAGAGATATTATGGAAAAAGTATGAAGTTTGCTAATTTGTATTTACGATCTGATTAATCTAAAAAAATCACACTTTTTGAATTTAGATTGAAAATATCAACACACATAAGAATTAGGAACTTTTTATAAATAAATTTTATTTATAATATTTTGGGATTTTTTTATTATTTTCAAATTTTTTATTTGGGCCTAATTTTATAACTCACGGTTATAACTTTTTTGTTTTTAAATACCGAGGTTCAACTTATTTTTCATCTCTTTCTAATTCTAGCATTAGAAAGAGATGAGGAATAAATTAAACCTCAGTTAAGAGTTGACCATGAGTTGTGAAACTGTGTCTTATTTTTGAGCATATATGTATATATATATATATATATATAATTTTTGCATATGACAGTTTCTCGATTATGATTGATTATATACGGAATTGCTATTTCTGTATGCGATATTTCTTCAAGAATAGGGCCCCTGGGCCTTAATTTTCAATCAGCTCAATTTTCCCAGATTTTCTGCTGGAAGATACGATCCAATACAGTACGAGCAGCTATTCATGCAGAGATCCATTCGGTAAATTTAGGTCATGTGACCAGCAGATAAGAAAGCAGAGAATGCACTATCCACTACATAAACGAATGCAGCCGTATTTCGTTTTTAAAAACTTTGTTTTTGAAGCAAATCGAAACTTCGATATCAAAACGATGAAATCGATGTTCTAATAAATTCTACATAATTTGTTTGTTTAAAAGTTTGGCGATGAATATATTCATCTTCCTTTAAAGAATGACCTTATAAAGCATAGACATCGAAATAAGCTTCAAATTTCGAGCAATATTTCGACTCGATGGAATTTCGTGATTTCAACATCAATTTGATATCGATTCGATGAATCATTTCTTGTTGGGGATAAATTATTCTGAAATAAAACGTCGTTAAAGTGATTTTCCACTTCCAATAGGACACCTTGTATAGCATTGAAATCCGTTTATATGCACACATCAAACGGAATCTTATCTAATCGATTTTCTGAGTATCGCTATTTGCAGAGTCATTGTATCAAACATATTTAATACTACAGGAGATGAATCCCGAACATATATCGTTTCCACAATTCATCGTGACATACTTTATTTTGTGTTTCGTCATGCTAGAGCATCCTCTTATAATTTCACTCGATCTAGACATCGGCAGTTAGTATTAATCTTTGGTTACACTTCCGAGCTAGTACAAGTTCACTTACAAGTTAACACTCAATAATATACGGCAACATCAACATATAATTACATCGTACTGCCATCCACAATCAGGTATGTCATTCGTTGTATGTATCAACATTAAAATGATAATTTCAGAAAGGAAAAACAAAAAAGCAACTTCTATCTTAATTTAAATCTCGCAACGTATGTTAAAAGAAATTAATTTATCATATGTAAAATTAATTTATCATTTATATATATCATTTATATATATCATTTATATGTTAATCAAATGAATTATCATTAAATGAAACTGTTTACTAGAGTCGAAAAAGCAGAGAGGAATTGATTTCGCTCTGACATTGTTTTCTCCTCTCTAAGAAACGTCAATATGAACAACTCAACTAAAACGATATTGATATCAACGTACTGTATCACCAAGTAATATTGAACAATTTATCTTTTAAGTATTATGTACGTTGTGCGTTATAAACATTCAAGTATTGCAATGATGTGCCTTTGATGAACCTTTCAAAATCGTTTACAACGTGTACGTGCATATATGTCATAAAGGGTGTTTTTTTAAGCCCGATAGAACTTGAAATTGTAAAAAATAAAACAAAAAATTAAATTAAACAGCCGCGGTGGCCATATGCCCGAAATCATTTTCAA